TGAAAATTGGCCTGTATCTCTGTTTTTGTCTGGTTGGTCCGAGGTCTGTCAACAAAGACAATGTCATGGTCACTTAGACCTGGGATAACCTTGGTGCTTTTTTATCTAAAACTTTTTTTTATGAGAAAAAGGTTATGAATACAACACACATGTATTGTGTTCGCATTGGAGTGAGTACTGTTTGTGAGGGTGAGTATTTATGATGTCAACGAAAGTCATGTAGTTGGCACCTGTCTGTGTGGGGAATAATGGGAGCTGCAAAGTCAGTGTGTGTGGGGTCATGGGAGGGCAGAACAGTCCAGTCTATGTCGGGGAGCTTGAAATCCCCAGCAAGTCAAATGTTTTTGTCTGTGTTTATGCGTGAGAGAGATGTTTCAGGGTTATGTAGGTATTCTGTATTAGTAGAAGGTGGTCTGTAGAAAGCAGAGAGGAGTAACTTACAGGCAGAGAATTGGAATTGGATCCAGACGATTTCACAGTCTGTGTAAAGGTCCGGCCTTGCTATAGTAATGAATTCTGGCTTGGTGGCGTCAGTCGAGTGGTCTTTACGTATAATAGTTATGCTAAAGGGAGGGGGGGAAATTTCAGCAGTGTCGATGTAGATCCCCGATTTTAAACCTCTCCATCTCAATTTCAATAAATAATGCGCATGACGCTATTAAGCACATATCACGCATATTTGTGGTTGGCCACTGGGGGTAGGAGAAGAGATTAGGGTGTAACTGGTAGTGCCAGTGTCTGTGATGGTTCTTATAGTGTAATGTTTTTGTTCATTTTGTCAGTGAAGGCATTTAGCGTTTTTGCTTTGATGATGTGTTGGAGTAGCCTGTTCCAGTCGTGTAAGAGTCGGTGTTGGTGTGGTATGTGACGAGTTTACTAGTATATGAGTACGTGTATGTGCTGCTTGTAAGTATTCATGTTTGTTGATTTCCATAAGGTTTGTGATCTTGTACATGATTGTAAGTCTGTGTGCTTGTCTTCGTGTCTCAAGCAGGTTTATGTTAATCTGTTTTTAATGCGAGATGTAATACCAAGTATATGTGTAATTGCATGTAATAAACCTGGTAGCTCTAGTACTGACTTGTTCGAGCTTGTTAATGTTGTGCTTGGTGTAAGGATCCCATACATCCGTACAGTATTCAAGTGTTGGGTGTACAAGTATATTATAAGCTACGTGTTTGATGGCAGGTGCACACTTGTATAGGTTCCTCCTTAGAGACTCCAGTGTTCTGTTGGCTTTATTAGTGATGAAATAAATGTGTGTATTATAGGTAAGATTGTCTGAAAGGTGAACGCCAAGGTATTTGAGAGATGCTGTAGGTGTCAGTTGCTGGTTGTGTAGAGAGTAGGCATAATGTATTGGTATATGTGATCTGGTGAAGCAGAGAGTTTTGCACTAGTTAGGTCTGAAGGACATTTTCCACGACCTTTCCCACTGTTCCAGGGCGTCTATGTCATGTCGGAGGAGTCTGCAGTCGTCTGCAGTATGAATAAGTCGAAACAAAAGACTGATGTCAGCTAAAAGACTAGGGGAGGAGTTAGGTGTCGAATGTGGAAGGTCGTTAATGTACAGAAGGAAGAGAAGGGGGCCAAGAACGGTGCCTTGAGGGACACCAGAAGAGATAGAGTCAGAAGATGCACCATCGAGTAGGATACGTTAGGTCTTACACGTCAAAAAGCAGTGATCCAGTAAAGAATTGGTTCTGTGATCCTGTAATATCATAAGTTAAGTGTGAGTCTTCTGTGAGGAACTATGTCAAAGGCTTTGGCCAAGTCGAGCAGTATGGCATCAACTTGTTTTGTGTTGCATCTGTCAAGTTGTTGGGCAATGTCGTAATGAATGGTGATTGAGTCTCACATGATCATTTAGGCTGAGAACCTAAAATGTGGGTGTCAATGTGATTCATTATGTGTTTGTGTATTATATGTTCAAATATTTTACAAAGGTTTGATGCCAGAGAGATGGGGCGATAGTCAGGTCTGTCCGGTCGCCTGTCTTGAAAAGAAGAGTGATATTTGCACAAAGACAGTCTACAGGTAGGATGCATGAGGCTAGTGATTGAGTGAAGATGGATTGAAGGATAAGAGCAAGGACAGAGGCACAGGACTTGAGAATCAAGGCAGGGATTTGGTCTGGTCCAGTAGCTTTATTGGTGTCTAGTGTGGTCAGTAGCTTCAGTATACCGTTATTCGAGATGTCAAGCGGTGGGATTGGGGATAAGGGCTATCTGGTATGTTAACTGTATTGTCGTCTTCGTGTGAAAATAGATTGGAAGTGAGAGTTGAGTAAGCATGTTTTGTATTTTAGGTCACTCACAAGGGTGTTGGAGTCTTTTAAGACAGTGATCGCCATAGTGTTGTCTGCAACTTGAAGAATTTAAAGAAATGTTTTGGGTTGTTTTTGAAGTTTGCGAGGTAGGCGGAAATGTGCTTGTGTTTTGCTTTCTTGGGAAAATGTTTTTTGATAGGATTCGAAAGCAGCCCAATTTTCTGGAGTGTT